GTGTGTTTCATTGCATCCGTCAGAAAATTATATGGTATACATAGGTTAAATATTAATTAATATGGTTGTATATTTAAATTGTACACTCTTAACACAACCGAGAGGAAAATTTGCTCACACTTCGTCAAATCTCTAACTCTGTCATTGCCACTGTGTATTCATCTTTATCACAATGGAATAGAAAAAAAATATCTTATTGATTAACTATTTCATGGATAGCTAGTTTTATTTATTTTAGTATAAAATGTATTACGTTATTAATTAATTAGTAATTTTCATTTTCTCAAGATAAAAATATTTTTTGCCCAAATCTTATCTATTTACTAAAACCAAATCCCAACCCCCCCCCCCCCCAAAAAAAAAATGTAACTTAATTGTAGAGTAGTCAAAACGGATTTCGTCCATGGGGTCGGTTCAATCCAATTCGTTATTAGGGTAGGATTGAAATAAGGTTTTTGAAGCCTATTTAAAACTAGGGTTTATAAGCTCTGCTCATGTAAGCTCTTAGCCTATGAGACTTGATCGGGTCGGGGGTCCGCCTATGGGCCAAAATTTTTTATTTAAGGGCAACTTGCAATAATCTCATTAATATATAATCTAATTACTTAAATACATTCTATATTGTAATATTATGAATCTTATCATATTTTAGTATATATGTATCTCAAAATTAGGTTAAATTTGTTCTTTTGTCCAAACTAAGCCATTATATAAAGCACTTCACCAAAATAACACATTTTTCTAAAATTTTACAAAACTGGTATAAGTGTATTTCACAGTAATGTTTTAGGGTTTATTTTTTTAAAAAAAGCTGACGTCATTAGATCGATATACGTTACTCACAGTAACGTTTTACTCCTAAAACGTTACTTACAGTAACGTATATCAACCTAGCGATGTTAGTTTTTTTAAAAATGAAATATACCCTAAAACCTTACTATGAAATACATTTATACTAGTTTTGTAAAATTTTAGAAAAATATATTATTTGGGTAAATTGTTTTTTATAGTGATTTAGTTGGTCAAAAATACACTCTATCCTAGTAGATTCGCACGTATCTAGGATAGATAAATCTCACGCCCTCGCCTCCCTTCCTTCTTGCTTGTCACTCTTATCTCGCTCGCGTATCTGGTATGCGAGATACATGCTAATTACACTAGATTTTTTTGATAGTGTTCTTGAAACAACACCATTATTTGTCATATTTAATTCAAAAATCTTCTCTTTTTCTTGATGTTATAAAATTATAAGTTTGAAAAAAAAATAATAAAAAAGAAGAGCCCTCGGCTCTTCTAAGGTTAGGTTGAGTTGAGCATTTTCAAGCCTTCCAAATGAAAGCTCACCCTAGCCCTTCAAATTCTTTGACCTGTGAGGCTTGATAGGATGTAGCTAGGCCAACCTTTTTTTACAACTCTAGTTAATTGTATTTTGTATATATTTCATTTTTGTAATTTGATACTCAAGATATATTTTTCTTAAAAAAATCAAATATAAATAATTTTCCTAATATGACAAAAATATTTTTCAAGTGATTTGAACAAATACAATAAATCTTTCCTCTTGAAAATACATTTGAAATTTCATTTTAGGAAATATATTTTTTCTTAAACGGCAAGAAATATCACTTTTCTCGTAATTAACTATAATAAGAAAATGATAAGTATTATTTATCAGGAATTAAAAAGAAATTCGATATTGAAAGATAAAAAAAAAAAACGACAAATTTGGATGTTGCAAGTGGGCCACTCGTGTTCAATTAAGTTCTCGCACGAATAGCCCTTAAAACTGTTTTGGTATTTAATTTTTGTCTCTGCAATTTGTTTAATAAAAAATTATTAACAAAATACTTCTTAATTCATCTTAGTCTAATTAACCTGACATATGCTTTTTTGTTCTTTAAAATAAGTGTGATAGAAATTAAGTTATAGTGCAATACAAGTTGTGTAGCATTTTTAAAATTTGTTTTAGTATGCAAAAATTGGAATTTGCTTTTTAGGGAAAATGTTTTTTTTTTTTTTTTAGGGTGGGGGAACCTGATAGTTATTATGAATGGTAGAATATATGTGTGAATTTGTATATTTTGTTTTAATTTAGAAAATATATATACATGAAACGTTTTATGTTATAATTTAAAAAATACAATAATAATTTTCTTTTTGATGTTAAAGATACAATGAAATATTATAATTAATACAAAAATAAAACTTTATGCATCCAAAAATAATAATCGATATCAAAGTTTTTAATTAAAAGAATTATCAAATTTGAGGATAAAATTCAAATACCATTCATTTCTGCAAATGACCTTATTCAATTGTAAGTCCAAATGAAAACAGTTCGTTTTCATTTTTAGCCTATTTCTTGAGTACTTTTGCTAGAGTTTTGATGAATAATTAAGCAAATAAAGTCTTCATATAATGAGCTAAGCTGTGACATTATTTTAGATCATTAGTCAGATCTTATTGATTGATTATAATCCAATGATTGCAATCTAGTATTAAAATATGACTTAAAGATGAATATCCTTGATAGCTATGAAATCTTTTGCTAATTATAATAATGGATTACTTCTTATATATTTAGTACAAATAATATCTCTTTGTGGTTATGCTAATATAGAATTTTTTTTTAGAAAGTAAAGAGCAAGAAATATAATTATGATTATTTATTTAAAAGCTCTGTTTGGGAATTTTGAAAGGAATCTCAATAATGATTAATAAAAAAATTATCTAAATATACAACTTGTTTTATTCATATTTTCTAAAAATTCGTACCTTCTAAAAAAATTACAAAAATCTCAATTCTCTCGTATTTTTTAATACATCACTTTACGCAATATATTGAATCTATGCGTGAATGGAGATGTTGAGTGATGTACTCAAAATGAAAACGTAATATATTGAGACATTTTGGGATGTATTCGAATTCGACCATTTTTTTTTATAATTTAAAAATGAGTAGAAATAAAATATAACCAACTTTACCAGTACGAATTTTCTGTAAACATGCATTAAATTATTCCTATAATATTATTAAGCGCTAATAATCACAATATTTTCATATTGTTTTGTTAATTCCAATACAACTTTAGATATACATGGCCTTTTTATGCTTTATTGACATTAGTACGTGTTTGGTGGTCCAAAAGAAAGTAAGTTTATTCATTCTGTCTTTCTTTATGAATTTTGAGAATCTATGGATAAAAGAGCATTTCTTTCTGTTGTTGCATAAAACGTAAAACCTATCAAGTACAATATATCTAATATAATCGTACAAAGTCAAATCTACTTAAAAATTAACATATACATATTTTATTAATAATTTTATATTAAAAATGTAGGACTTCGATCTTTAGGCTTTGCCATATAAATATATATGATGGGCTTGTACCTTTTGTTTGAATATTTTTTGTGATTCTTTTTAGAGTAATTTACAAAATTTTCACTAATTTAGTACTTATTTACCTTTCTTCCCTTCATTTTTCATTACTACGAATTAACTAAAATTTTGGACTTAAGATATATATATTTAATGTGTTTAGATACATGTATTTCGAATATATAAAGTTAAAATTAGGTGTAATTTATTCTAGATGTTATATCCAAGTTGATTCACATATATTTTACTCTCTCGCTTGCCACCCTTCTATTGCTCACTACTCTCCTCTCTCGCTCGTCTCTCTTCTATCTCATTTGCCACACTTTTTGTATCTGGTATCTCATATACATATATCTAGTGTGATTCACGTGTATTTGAGATACATAGACTATCTCACTCGCCTTTCTCCTATCTTCTCTATATTCTAGTGTATCCGATAGTAAAAATACATGTATCTAAGTTTATCTGTCTTGAAATCAACTACCAAATTATTAATTAATAAATAATATATAATTATTTCAACTACAGAAAGAATTAGTAATTATGATAAAGGAATATTTATCTAATTAAATAGTTTTTCATGAATTGACAAGACTTGCTAAAAAGCCTCATTTTAAAACATGCTCAAAAACTTGTGGCCCAAACCCCAGTCCTATCAATTCACAGGTTGGGCTCAATTGAAACAAAGAGCCTACTCTATATTCATGATTCTACTCCCTAGAAGGAAAATAAACCAAATTTTGTATTTATTTGATATATATAAATATTAAAAACTTCAGCCATATAACCAATCATATTAATTTGTAAAATAAATATCTGAAATTAAGCTTCTTAAAATTTATTTTCGCAGTACCCAACTTAAGAGACGAATGTTTTAAGTTTGTATTTGTAGTACTTTAGTTCCTCGAAATTATCTTTGGAAAACGAACGTGTAATTTTCGTTCTACAACGCATTGACAGATTAATCAGTAGAATTTGATCTTAGATTTCATAATTTACTCCCCTTGCTATTCAATTTCGTACTTTAGCTAATCGTTTTTCGTCAGTTTTTAACGAGATACTGTGACCTTCCACCATCATCAGGTATTTTTTGTTCTGCTTTAACCTGAGCTCATTTTTCACATTAACTCATTTCATTTGATCAATCTCATCAATCACATTAACTCATTTCATTTGATCAATCGGCTACACCCTTGGGTGCAAAAAATCGACAGGGGACATTATTTAAGCATATAATTAATTGTTCATGTTGTAAAATTGTGGATTGTCTTATAAAAATGCTGAATGTACTGCACGTATCATGGATCTTATCGGTCTGATTTTTATGCATGTTGTTTCTTTATGTGGAAAGAGGGATAATGATAGGAGATGTGGGATTTGAGATGACTGGATAGCCTGAGCCCTGAAGCTGGACAATGTGGGATGTATATCATTGTGGAGTTGTAGCTTTAAATTGCATTGATGATTACATTAGCTAGTTTTCGCTTTATTTTTTAAGTGTTCTATCATGCAAAGTATAAAGGAAAGATACTGTGAAGGTTATACCTCAAGCACATGATTCTGCTTGGACACACTATTAACAATGGTAATCTAAAATAAAGAGCAAATGGTGATGTGAGCATTAGAGAATTAGATGGAAGTTTAATAGAAAATTAGAGCTACCGATCTTTTCAGAAAAAAGGATGACAGTAAAGCAAGTTTGTTTAGTTGGACATATGCTACTTGGGTGTTGTTCAGTTCGCATTTGTATTCATGCTAAATATTTTGCTTATTACAATGACCTGAACTTTGAGTAATCTGAATGTTGGTTGTCTTTCTATATGAATTGCCTCTCAGCATAGTAATTGGGGTATTTGCCTTTTGCGTGCATCTTATGAACTTCTCTGTTGTTTACAACAATTGAACAACTACCAGTAGTTTGTTCTTTCCCTTTCTGCTATTGTGTAAATGGAAATGCAAATATGCAAACTCTCTGTCATGGCGAAAACATTTGTACTTTTTGTTTTCGTTAATGTACAATAATCTACATGCACTTAATCACTTCTTTTTTTTGGCTGTGCATTTTATAGTTTCTTTTGCCGCATGTATTTTGAATGTAACCTTATATTCCCTTTCTGGATCAATATGGAAATTCATGTTTCCTAAAAGGTTATTCAACAAATTATGCTTGCCTCACCTTCCCACAACCCTTCTCTCTTTTTTTTTCTTCTTATTTGCAAATAAATAAAAAGGTTGGAATGAATCAGCCAGTAATTCATCATCCCCTTGCTGCCCTTACTGTAGCGACAAAAGAGAAACCTATAACACGAAACTTTAGTAAGTATACAAGTTTTCCTCATCATTTCGGACCCAAATTCTAGGCTCTTAATTTCTTTTTTTCACTGTTCCTTTATCCAGTAAACTGCGTTCTGCTAGCTGGTGGTTTTGTTTGAATATTTCTGATGTTCTAGTGTATTTACCATACACAATAATCACTATTCCCGAACTGCTTTGATATGCTTCTTCTTGAGCCAAGGGTCTATGAGAAACAATCTCTCTATCTTCTAAGGTAGGGGTAAGGTTTGTACACGCTCTACCCTCTCCAGACCCCACTTGTAGAATTGCACTGGGTATGTTGTTATTGAACAATCACTATTGCCATTACTAGAAGTTTAGAACTGCTTCACGAATGGTAAAAACTGTTCAACAAGGCTTTCTAAGTCATCTAATGTAAAGGTGATGGAACCTTGACCTCTGCCTTGAAAATTGCCCGTACTGGTCTGTGGTCTGACAATCTAAACTCACCTCTATTATACTGGCTTTGCTTCAGTCCCTTGCCAAACCATATGATCCGATCACACCTGCATAATGTTTTTCCTTTATTAGATATGTCTGTTTCATAATTTTTAGGTAAAACGTTTGATTGTTCTTTCAGAACTTACCAAGCTGGGGCTCGACTCTTTCCTCTTTTCCCATTCTGACAGCAGCCATAATAATCATCAGAATCTGGATGATATTTATATGTTGGTGCAAACTCAATATCTTCCTCTTGCCAGCCGTTGAAAATACAACCTTCTCTTAGCTCGGCCTTCAGCTTCATTTTTCCAAGTTTTCAATGTGAACTTCAAAATAGTGGTGATACTAGGAGTACAAAACTCACTACATGTTTGGATACTTTTTGGAACTTCAAAATTATTCTTTTTGCTTTTAGTACCTGATCATTTTGTAGTAAGATGCTCCACTGCCCGTCATTGACTAATGATCTTGTTGTGGCTTCAGGTAAGTAAATCCTATAATTCAGGTCGCCTAGCCAAATCACCCTACTGTATGAGATTAATCAGCTTATGGTTGTTAGAAGATATATTAAGTTATTCACCAGTTGGAATATAATAATCAATATGTATGAAGTCAAGTCTTCTTTCTTGTGCTAAAGAAGTGCAAGTGGAAAATTATTTGGCTAAATGCTGACATGAGGCTTCATAAGCATTATTAAGCACAATCCCTCGTCCACTTATTTTTTATGCTTCTTTTTCTAGTTAATTAATCAGCTGCTATGGTCTTGGAACAGAATAATAGTGCTGGCTTCTTGACTTTAGGAAGCATAATCAAACTGTTTACTCTGTTATCATCAGACTGGCAGCTAGTTCTGTAGCAAGAGTCAACAACTGTAACTTTCACGAAATTTCTAGGATGAGGAAATTCCAACCTCTGGATATTTTTTTTTTGGTGACTGATTGTTAATAAAATTATCGTAAGAAGGTATACATACTCGTGCTGTAGAATTTTTCTTGGCAAATACTGAAATGAGTCGCAAGAAAATCTTGTGCGTGATAGTATTTGAGTGGCATCTGCATTTCTCTGTTTCTCATCTCCTTCTTTTCCTCCGGAAGCCAAATGACTACATACAAAGCAGAAGCTTGTTTCATGCAACCAAAATCTAACCGAGACTGAACCCTGTATATTAAATACTGGAAATTAGTGAACTGAACACTAGATACATATGATTGTGTCTATATCCAATTTGTGTGCCCACAAGCTCCTCTTCTTCTTGGAGTGAACGCCTTGGGGATGGGGATGGGGGTGGGTGGGGGAAGCGCAGCATGTGTAAATAACTCCTGTTGTTTGTTCCTTGAATTTGCCAGTAACTATTCTTGATTAGGGATGTGTTATTATGAACAAGAAATAGAAATTTAATATCAACTTTGTACCTTGTTTCCAAGGTAGCCAAAAATACCACAGCCTACACAGGAGACACTTGTATGACTGATATAGGGAAGGAGTGGAGACCGTGCCCATACTGTAATAAATATTCCCACCATTTGCTTGCTAATTATGCATTCAAATTGTGTTGAGTTTTCTACATTGAACTTCAAGGAACTCCCTTTCTTTAGTGGGTAAACTTTTACACTTTCTTCTTCCTCTGCCTCCTGAAGGGTTATGTTGTTGACATCTAACTTGTTAAGAGCTGTGCTAATAAGAGAATTCCATTGCATGCATATAGTTGTATTCTCTGGCACTATAACACTTCCAGCATTCAGCGGTACAATTTCTTGAAACCTGATAAAAAGTAGTTTGCTCAAGAGTTGTACATTCTCAAAGTAGAATTTAGACCATTAAATACTGCAAATATTACCATACACTCTACTTCGTTGATTAGGCCACATGATACCAGTTGCCCTGGGATTACAAAGGGGGTGGGACGGGTGAAGCCTACCCCACAAAAGCTGCAACTTGTATCAGCCTTTCCGTGCTTAGCATTTTTTCCCCTTCTATTTTAACTCACCTAGCCCTCCCTGTCCCGCGTAGAAAATGGCTTATGTCCAGCTTTTCAAGAGATAGGTTCAAAAAAAGTTGATCTAATACAGTAGAACTTATTAATTTTAACTACCCTACCCTTTCTCCGCTCACGTTTGAAGTTCAAAAAATTTGTTTTACCTGCCCTGCGTAAGAGCTTCCCGTCCCTGCCATGTTAAGTATTTGCCCCACCCCGCTCTGTCCCATTGAAATAGGCACAGATGATGATGCATTTGCATGGCACTGCTACCCTAAGGGTGGCTGCATATGCGAAATGCAGCCCATCAGGTGCTTTAGTTGACCTACCTATAGTACAACGAATTATATTGAAGTAAAAGGTTACCCGAGAACATAAATATCAGCCAAGTTGTTTCGAGTATCAAGCAATTCCTCCATGTTCAAGTCGTTTGGTGGTGCAATGCCTCCAACATTCCATGAACTAACAAATAACCTTATTGAGAAGAAAAAAAACAATAAGTATGAGATAAACAGAAGTATATAGAAGATTTGTGAATGTTACTATTGTTAAATTGGCATTGAAGTATATAGAATATTTGTAGATGTTGCTATTGTTGAATTGCCGTACGTAAAATTTTGTATCTCAGCTAAGGGTGCTGATGTTGAGTCAGAATCAGCTAACATATTCTCATCATCCAGTCTGCTCTACAGAGTGGTGTTTGCGGCTACGTTAGCTACATAGCCTTGAACTGAGGACAGAAAAGAAGACTAAAGAAAACCAGAATTTACATCATCATGTAGGCAGAGTACATGTGATTGGAGGTAGTGAGAGAGAGAGAGCAGTGGTAATGGAAGCTAATAAGTTAAAAGCAAAGTGTTGGTATACCTTTATATAAAGGGAAAGGAGGGTGAAAATTTGATGTGTAAAAAGGGAGATCTAGAGATGTTAGGTTTCCTACGGATGTTGAGAGTGTAAATGATACTATGGTGGGCTCTACAAAACACCGAATGAATTGTTTAACAAGATATTAAAATTGAAGAAGACAGTTAATGAAAAATAGTTAGTCGATAATGGGGAGGCCAAAATCACAAGGGAGGTGATGTGAGCGATGATGCAAGTTGGATTAAGATCTTCTATTTAACTTTAAACGAATACCTTCTTACTTTGGAAAACCAAAGAGATACTTTCATTCTTTTGATCACATGGTGACTTTGTAACAACACTCAAGGTTGGTTGTGAAAGGTTATAAGCACGTGCTTTTGTACCAACACTTAACATCTTGGTATACTTTGTTCTTTTGAATCTCATCCATCTCTGGATGTTGATGTGCATGACTAGGGCTGTGTATTGATTTGTTCGGTTTGGTTTTGAAGTTTATCAGGCTGGCTTATTGGTTATCGGTTTGTAGTGATGTTAAACCGTTATAGAACCATTAAGATATTGGCTTATCGGTTATCGATTTGGTTATCGGTTTAACCGTTAAAATTTGACCCAAAAGAAAAACTATTGAAAATCACTTAGAAACAAGGTGACAAACCAAATAAACCATGCACTTGAGTTCACAAGTTACATCTTGCTCAAAAGCAAACACTTTTACATCGTAGAATAATCAAGTGTTTGAGACAACAAAAAATAAAAGTAGGAAATTAAACTCTAAGTCGAGGACTTTATATACAAAATGGTATAAATATAAATATTTAATTTACTATCGGGTTATCGGTTAATCCGTTAAGAAAAAACTTTAAACCGTTAAGAACAGATAACCCGATAACTAAAAAAATCAAAACCGTTATCAAAATCACTAAATCAATAACCCAATACTATAAATTAATAATTTTTTTATTGGTTCGACTTATTGATTTTGGTTCGGTTTTGAACAGCATGACAAAAGTTATTGTAATCTAACTATTGAATTATTTCATGAAATCAGAATGACCCTAATCTAACCACAAGTTTAGGCTGTACAAACAGCCCCAGTAACTATGGCGTGAATATCCATTAATCATTTGTAATGAAGATATTTGAAACAGAAACATGACATAAACACTTAACTCTAACTAATGTGTTCCTTTTCTGTAGATACAGTAAATGGGAGAGCAAGGATGACTCATCTAGAAACCTCTTGTACTCTTCCAGGCTTCACTTGTGGGACTTGTTATTTTTTTTAGGGTCATTTAACTAATTGGTCAATGTCATTATTGTACTAAGAGAATTAACTAATGCATACTTCAGTGTATCATTTGGTATTATTATATTAACATAAATACAAATTAATCAGGTTGTTTAATCACCAATCATGGTGATTAAAAGTGTTTAAAATAATAATTTTTTTTTCTAAGCAAAGAAGGACAATGGATATTGCTTATCCTTAACCAATCACAATTAGTAACTATATTATTGGAGGATGATAATTGTAATCTTGATTCTTTTCTTATATTAAATTAAAGAAGACGAAGTCTCTGATATCTGCGACAAACATGAATAGAGGAAATAGTTTGATAATACAAATGCAGTATTAATAGGACAACATAGCTTGTTTTCTTGTTATTTGTTCTCATAAAAACAGTATTAAAAAGACAACATAGATTAATTTGTTTAATTTCATGAAAATGACAACATGTATTACTTTGAATATACATTGGGCGTACAAAATTCCAGCTGTTCAGTGACGGACCCACCCTTATAGGTGGGATCCATTAACTTTTTAAAAAGATTATGGGTATAACTATCTTGTAAAATCGGTAGAAATTAAAACATAATTAATCGTAGACGCATAACGAGCATATGGGTGCTATTTTGCTGCTGGGTCAAGCTAGAAAAATCACAACGAGACCTGAATTTGAATCTAATATAATACATACGAAGTCTTTAAATCCTGATTCACCTCTCCGATGCTACTAACGAGATACCTTTTGGATTAGTTAGCAGAAGACAATTAAGAGATTTTATTTTCTTGTTATAATTATTACTTATAATTAACTAGAGGTTGAATGCAGGCCTACATTAAGACTTGATTATGAAAGTTCTTATTTTTTATAAATACCCAGTTCCTTTCAACTTTTTTTTTTCTATTTATTTAACGATTATGGGTTTAATCGTTTCAACAAATCCACATCGTCTTGGGCTGGCATAATTTATGCTACCTCATGTCTAGTGGGTGTTTAAATAATTATTATTTGCTAGACAATAATGCTACTAATATTTTACTACTAATATTCACTAGTATATCATATCTAATCCTATTTAGTGACGATTACCTAAAGAATCAGTTAAATAATTAACGAAAATATCAACAAAGATGTTAGCAGGATGGGCGTTTGATTATAAATTTTGGCGTGTGTTGTGAACTTGTTTATATTACCTGCAAGGAACCCCATCCACTTGATTCCTGAACCATACAGTATAAAATTTAAAATTAAATTTGTTGGAAAAAAACGATTAACTAAAATCAAAATATAACAAAATCTTGAAATTATTTATTTCATAATAGAAGGTGAATTAACCCTTAGTAGTTAGTACTTCTATGTTGATAAACTATGAGAATTCCCTTCAATTAAAATGACGAAAATGATGGGATGTTAGGGGTTGAAATATGAATGGCTATGTGTTCGCGAATAAACTTTGATAACCTAATGTTGGTGTGATATTTTAATATTAATAGAAATATAATTATATGTCATATTATATATCATGTAATGTCTATTGATAGACATTACATTTGTGCCTCTTTAGTCTCATCAATTGTGGAAGAAAATGGTCATTAGTTTTTAGTAACTTATGTAACCACCAACTCTTCATTTCATCCATTATTCTATATTTACGTCTTGTAACTTATGTAACATTGAGTCATTCATTTGGCATATTTACTATCTACTATCTCGTATTTTATTGCAAGAAAGAATTCATCACCTAATAATAGGGTAGTCTTCATTTGTGTTGAGATAGGAGAAGAAACAAGAGAAGTACCAGAAAACATAGAGTGAAAAAGATAGTGATTTATATTGAGGTTAGTGTAGTGAAAGAGAGAGTTTGAGACATAGAAAATATTCTAAGTCTTCAACTATATTCACTATACAAAAGAAAGTATTATATGTTGAAGGAAGGTGTTCTTTTGTGGAGCTTTGGACTCTTCAACTAATCCGGAGTTGCTTGAGTTATACCCTGTTGTTGGGCTGTTGTATCGTGGAGGAGACAAGTCAAGAGTATTACTGCTGGGTCGGTGTAGATTATGCCGCAGTGGGCTTGAATCTCCTTTAAGAGAGCGAGATATCCGTGCCTCAGCCTAAAGATTTATTTCTTCATTTTATTTTCAATTGTAATCTTGCAATTTTTTTTCACTAACACATAATAAATGACTAATTAACGTATAATGTCATATTCTATGATAAGTTTTAACATGATTTGATGTAAATAATGGGTGCGAATATATATATATATATATATATATATATATATATATATATCAATAATGAGTACGAACACATAAGTGAGAAAAGTTGAGTCATAAAAACACTATTTATGACATAAAGCAGCATCGAACTTTTGGATATTGGAGTTAGTTTAATTGGTTGACATCCCAATTTGAGAAATGGATACACTTATCCCTAGCAGTTCAGTCATATCATCTCTCTTGTCTACTTGTTTCAAGTGTGTTGTAAAATATGAATGGTTAGTGCCATTATCACTTTAAAAAGAAGAATAAGAAATTCAATTATTGACACAACATGTAGCTGGCTGTGTTTTACTATTAGATTTGCATTGCAACTTGCATGGATACGCTTGCGTGCGTACGACTTGGAATTAATAAATACCCATTCCTAATGACTCAAGTTTTTGGTCCATTTGATTGCTAGATAGTATATATATATATATACTAGTAATACTAAACACTAAAAGTCGTTTTACAGATTGTACCCATATTAAAATAAGTATGATTTCTATAGGTTCCTAACCCTCAAGTGTGTTTGGTCTAAAGATAAGGGTCGCATTTCACATGTTGGATCTATCTGTCAACTTCGTGTCTGGTCTTTGATTTTGAAGTTTCAAATATTGAGTTTTTAAAGTTGTGATATTTGAAATTTGAAAGTTGTGTTTAGACATGCATTTTACTTGAGAAAAAATGTAATTTTTTTTTAAAATGAAAGTGAAATTTCTCTGACTACGGACTATGTACTGTATCTTATCTATTGGGTTAGGTGTGATCTAATTGTCAATGAAGTGGTTGAGAACTTTAAAGTCTTAGATTCAAAAAGAAAAAATAAGTAGGTGATTCTTTTCAATTTTAATTTGATCCAAAATCTATGACCGAACGTTAGCTAAATAAGTTAGAAATCTTTTATGGCCAAACAAATTTTTAAAAATAAAATTAATGCAAGTCCTAGCTCTTTTCTTTGATTTTTTTTTTAATTAATAAAAAACTAACCATAGACACCCCACCTAAGCGGGTTAATAAAAAAGATAGAGGTTTCTGTTTTTTTAATTAATAAAAAACTAACCTAGACACCCCCACCTAGCGGATTAAAAAAAGAGTGAAAATTTTAAATTTAATCCAATATGTATGACCAAAAATTAGCTAAATGTTCTAGAAACTTCTCCATCTCCCGAAGGGTTGCAAAATGTTGATTTTCCATTCCTATATGAGAGTTAACTTGGAGAGGGCTATCAGTGTTAGCCCAACCACTATAGCTAAACCTGTCAAGTGGGGCCTGCTACACCCAAATTCCAGCGCATTTAAACATGGACACCATTAAAGTTAAGCTCGTAAAATAAATTTATCATTTTTTGGAATGATAATAATAACTTTTAGATATACGAATTTAAAGTTTTTCAAAATTGGAGGTCGCAACTAAAAGCCTCAGACGGTATTATATTGCCTGAAATTTTGTTTGCCAAAACTTAAATTAGACAATTTGTAACAAGCAAATTTCGAATATGTTTACCTAAAGTTGAGATATTTCTGTATGAAACTCAAACATATATATAAGGGAGAGTTTCGGTATGTTTGCATAAGGGTTAGACATATATGATGTTGAATTTTAAATATTTTTATCTAAAGTTTAGGTGAATAGATTTCTATGAAAAAATACAAATTTATTCTTCAAATTTTAACGAAGAAGATCGGAATAAATTTTGTTAATAAATAAACAAGTTATTAATCCGCCAAAACATAAATAGATCGAGGGAGCATGGTTTTATAGACTGATTTTTACACCTACCTAGTAGCCAAACCATTAGACCAAATGTTTAATCAAAAAATTTAACCTAAAGTTTCTTTTGTTTTAACGTCTGCCCCACATATTCCTTTCTGATGCAATTTAGCTATAAATTTAACATATATCTTAAGTGAGAATTTGATGGGTGTCTGCCTAGTTATGACAAATTAATACGAATAACACTCGGAAAAAAAATTCATTTCAAAGTAGGTAGAAACTCAATTTTAATGCATTGCTTAACTTGTATGTCTGGTATCATTCATTGAGCGGATTTTCATCTTATATGCCTATTTTAATTGAAGGTTAATTCACGATTTTTGTGGATGCTACTTGGTCACCAAGTCCACGCTGTGCAAATGAAGATAATAATCTATCTTTTTTAGGCAATACAAACATATATATACTCCTGTTTTAGACCATTCGTGTAATGTTTTAATGGTTTTTATTTGTTAATAAGTAATATTTGACTTATGAATTATTTTTAAATTCATACATCAATACTAGCATATTAGTCAAATTATAATATTTTATATTAATAATAAATAGATTAAATAATTCATTTTTTTAGCAATAAAAAACTCTCGTCTAAATAATAAAATTTATAGCTAATATGTTTAAATAAATTTATTAGTATAAATATAAGACATTAAATCAAGAAAATAAACAAAGAGATTAAAAAGATTTGAGAGATATTTTTGTCTTTACCTTAATTTGACTTTATGGTATTAGATCTCAGGTATTACTAATACAATCAAATGGAAGGTATCAGTTATACATCCTATAATACCATGTATGGTGTATAACTAATCTATGGATTAATTATACATATACAAAATTCCAAACAAACATAAACTAAAAATACTATACATAATATTTAGATTATTTTTCGTAATACTCTCTATCAAAGGACTCCGTTATTGTTTTTCCTAAATTTCTTTTGTAATTTGACTTTCATTTTATTTATGTTAAAATGACTATAAATGTTCTTTTAATTCTCCAAATTCCTTTAGTGTAATTTAATGATTTCACTAATATTCTTTTAAGCATTCTTGTTTTCAACTTTTTTATTCAAAGTAGTTTGTTTATTTTTTAATCATATTCTTACTTACTTTAATATATATATATATATATATATATATA